CTCAATTTTCTTTCTTCGGCTTATCATAACTCTTCTCACAGTTATGCTGTGCTTCTGAGTTTGCCCTATTTCAGAAAATTCAAAGGCTCAAAGAAGTTTAGAATAATGCAAAATTTGACCTTTTTAAGAAGTTGGCTCACTGCTCATTCACAAAATTTTTAAAAATCTGTTGTTTTTGAAGCATTGTGTTTATCAGAGGGAAAGCAAAATCCGATGAGCTGTACATGTTGCTTGTTTTGCTGACAACTGATGGACGTTATGCATCTGGAAAAATAAGAAAACAATGGTCTCGATGGCCAAAAAAAAAAAAAAACTGCACATTATTATTCTGATCAAATGCAGTTTCTAGGCATTCATTGCAAGTATCCCATGTTAGTGATTTTCCTGATACGCTCGCGCGCAGCTACGCAATACAAAAGGTGAATCGCTGCTGTCAGTACCTGTTCCAACTCAGGATACTTCCCAAGTGCCCTGTGCGAATTAACCCGTGAGGATTAGTCGTGGAGGATAAGCTCTAAGAAAGAGAAAGAAGGAGAGATCTGTGCTATCACTTTTCTGACAGTCAAAAGGATTTGATTCTGATACTGCTTTTTTTAGAATCCACCAGATGCACCCAGAGTAAATTGCGAAAAAGTTCGCTTCCGCAATTCTTTTTTAAAAAAACTTTCCCTTTCAAAATCCTTTTTCAAAAACCCTTCTTTAAAATCCTTCATTTCCTTCTTCCTTTTCCGTTTTCTCTTCACCCCATTCTTGCTTACCCAAATCCCATAATTATATTGTTTCCCTTCTGTTTCGTATCGTTCTCTTTTCTTTTCCTTTTCCATTAAGCACTGCAGCCGTCATACTGACGAGGTTCTGTCGCAGTGTTGAGTTAAGACGTATACGAATTAATCAGCCAAAACGTCTTACCGCACCCTTAACTTCTTTTCTCATACTGTTCTTTTATGCTGTAATCTATCTCGTCTTCGTCATATACGCTTCTAGAGTCAATCTGGTTGCCACAATCGGCTTACAAATCACAGAGGAGTATCCGCAACAAAAGGGCCTGATATGGTTTGGAGCTTGGCTAAATAACAGTAACATCGAAGTTCTGCACGATGAAGCCGAGCAGTGTTTTTGGCCATGCGTTTAAAATTTTCGAATTTAAACTGCAACATTTTATTATAACAAGTAGGCAGCAGTTTTATATAGAAAATGATGAGCATAGCAACTGAAACAGTTAACAAGAATAAACTGGAAAAATTGATCGCCGATTTTTCAAAATTACCCAACGCATTCACTGCATAGGACGACTTACAGTCCGGAAATTATAGCATCAAGTTGCTCCTTGTTCAATCGCTCGAAAGTTCCTGTCATTCGACCTAAAACACATAAAAATCACCAATATGTGTTTTTGCATTGCATGTACGAAAAGCATCAACAATCCCTCTACGACTCGTTCATTCCTTTCTGTGATAAATTTGGTACCACCGTATGTCAGGGAGTCAAACCTGTCAACACTTTGCTTGTAGTAAATAACCACTGAAAGAAGAGGCCCTCGAAGCCATGTAAATTAGTGATTTTTGTTAGCATTTACTACTAATCGGGCTAACTTCCGGGTGCTTTCGCCTCTGACGGCCAGCTAAAAAGAAGGGAATTGGATTTTTTGAATTTTGGTATAAGCAATTATACGGATAAGACAAAAAGTCAAAAAGTCCCTTAATGTTCATTCACAATGAGAAGCTAAGACACTCTAGAAATCACCCGCGTGCAGGAATGCTAAAAGCAGTGACCAGTAACCAGGCGATGCAAAAGTTCCCCTCTTTCGGAGATTGCTTAGAAGCAAACTGATGACAAATAAGAGAGGCTCAAAGCAGAGAAGAATGGAGAAGTTCCAGACGCACCAGTGGCGAGAAGCGATGGTGCAGTGAAACAGCAGATGTTCTAAGTGACAAAGTAACCACTGCACGCCAAGATCAAAAATTTCTGCAGAAATTTAAAAATCTCTAATTTTAAAGACAGTTCTTGCTTGCCTTGGGAACTGTGATAGCAAACTGCGAAAAACAAAACGAAC